CTCTGGCAGTAATTATCGAAAATCATTGAAAATCAATAGGCTTCTTTGTCTCATGACCTTAAACACTGTTCATAAATTTAAAGTCAATCGGATATTAACTTTGACTTCTAGAGCGTCCACAAGAATTTTTGAAGTGATCAAGGGCCATAACTCTGGCAGTAATTATCGAAAATCACTGAAAATCAATAGGCTTCTTCGTCTCATGACCTTAAACACTGAGTATACATCTTAAGTCAATCGGATATTAACTTTAGCCTATAGAGCGTCCACAAGCAATTGTGTACACCGGACGAACGGACTGACCGACGGACGGACGGATGGGGGCGACAACAATATACAACCACATTTCAATGTGGGCGTATAAAAATTGGTGAGTGAAGCTAGCCTACCAAAAAAGAAAACTTAGGCCTACTCTCACTGTCACTGCCTAGTTACGAATAGGCTATATTTGGATACCTGAAAACAGTTTTAATTAATTTATGACTGATTTTCTACTGTTTTTTTTTGATGTATTCCAGAAATGTGATTCCATAAAAGATGATGTTTGAAAATGGTGTGATAGTCATGTGTGCAGAATTCCTTGAAGATATTTGCCAATATAGAGTTGAGGAAGATCATTGAGCACAAAAATGAAAAAAAGTATTCTGTTATATTTCTACGCAGTAATTCGGCTTGATAATTTAGAGGGGGTTTATTGTCCATTCGACCACACTTTTCGACCAATCAGAATCGAGGAAATTTCTAATTTGTGCTACAATAACTATTAAACAAAATATATAACTGTGATATATTCACACGTTTTTGTTTTTTTTCTTTAATCGGATAAAAATTATGACCTCTATAGAGTCCACAAGCTAAAAACATGATTTTTCGTACAATCAGGGGCCATAATTCAGGAAGTTACGGTCTGATATGTGCGAATATCTAAAGGAACCACGATCTTTGGGTTATAAACTTACATTTCAAGTTTCATCAAAATAGGATTAAAATTGTGACCTCTATAGGGTTCACAACCTTGATATACCATATTTTTACGCTACAGTAGAATCTGTATGAGCAGCCACTCCTATTCAGCGACATCTCCTTGTAAGCGGTCACGATAAATTCCCCCCGTAGAAATTCTGTTGTTTCATCTCTTTATTCAACGGTCACTCCTCTAACGCGGCCAGCGGTCACTATTTTACTAATAAATTCAACAAAACATCGCCCATTCAACGGCCATTGTTGAATGATACCATCTTGTCGTTCTTTGTAACACCCCTGCTAATCCCGTGAGTAGTAGTTAATTAACTGGACCCCCACTGATCAGGTAAAAAGAAATGTAAACATAACAATCAACCCGGGATTATCTGATCATTGTTTTCACGCGTAACGACACATTATTTGATGCTGATTGAATAAAATAAAAGTACCGAGTTTTGTCACGATCATCTAGTATCTCTCTTAGCGCCTCCTATAATATTACATACAGAGTTACACCCCCTGTAAATAGGAGATAAAATTAGCGATTTTTTTTGTTCATGTGCTTTTTTGATAAAATAAAATGAATTCATCGATTTTCTTCACAAAAATGGATAAATATTATCGAATGCATCACAATGGTAGACAGTAGTATCGAAGGTTGGTACAAAATGACAAGTTTACAGAAGTTATGTCCGAGATTTGAGTAAAGAATTTTCGTCCGGCGCAAGATTCAGCGACGGCCAAATTTACCGCTTCCAATGCATCCAAGCGTAATATTTAATTTATGTCGGCACAAAAAGCAACGAGATTTTATTAAGAGGCCACTCCCGTTAAGTTATGTCCGAGATTTGAGTAAAGAATTTTCGTTCGGCACAAGATTCAGCGACGGCCAAATTTACCGCTTCCAATGCATCCAAGAGTAATATTTAATTTATGTTGGCACAAAAAGCAACGAGATTTTATTAAGAGGCCACTCCCGTTAAGCGGTCAGTTGTGAAAATTCCCTTGGGTGGCTGCTTAATACAGATTCTACTGTATTTGAGAACAAAGGGCGCCATTTTGTTTGTCAGTTTTGGGCCGATTTTCACGAAATTTGAACTTAGCCATCCTTAGGGTGTAACGGTGATATAATAATACGTTTTTTAAATCGGATAAAAATTATGACCTCTATAGGGTCCACAAGGTAAAAACATGATTTTTCGTACAATCAGGGGCCATAATTCAGGAAGTTACGGTCTGATATGCTAGAACATCGAAAGGAAACAATATATTTGGGTTATAAACATGCATATCAAGTTTCATCAAAATCGAATTAAAATTGTGACCTCTAGAGTGTCCGCAAGCTAAAAACTTGATTTTTCGTACAATCAGGGGCCATAATCCATGAAGTTATGGTCCCATACATGAGAATATCGAAAGGAACTGAGATCTTTGGGAGAGAGACCTATATTTCAAGTTTCGTCAAAATCGGATAAAAATTGTGACCTGTAGGGTGTCCACAAACAAATTGTGGACAGACAGGGGCGACGACAATATACGTCCACATGAAAATGTGGGCTTATAAAAATGGGTATAGCTCTGCCCCTGGGGGTTGGTGAATTACCAAATAACAATAGGGGTCATCCTTAGGGTATAAGGAATAGGTATGCAACGTTTCAAAAGGATCTGTTAAGATTTGCGGCTTGTAGGCAAAACACAAGACATACAAACATTGGGCATGGCTCTGTCGAGGGAGTAGGGCATGCTACAAAAATAATAGGTCAGCCTTAGGGTATAAGGAATAAGTATAAGAAATGCGGCCTGTAGACAACAAACAAATACAAGAAATGGGCATGGCTCTGCCCCTGGGGGTTGGTAAATTGGATAGAATCGGCTTTGTTTCTATTGGTTCTAAGGAATATTCTAAGGAATAAGTATGTAAAGTTTCAAGATGATCACTTAAGAATTGTGGGCTGTAGGCGACACACAAAAAGAAAATGGGCGTGGCACTGTCCCTGGGGGTTGGGCATGCACCCCCAATGATAGGGATGTTCCTTAGGGTACTAAGAATAAGTATGCAAAGTTTCAAGATGATACGTTAAGAAATGAGGCCTGTAGACGACAAACAAATAAATACAAGAAATGGGCTTGGCTCTTCCCCTGGGGGTCGGGCATGCACCAAAAACAATAGGGATCATCCTTAGCGTATAAGGAATAAGTATACAAAGTTTGAAGAAAATCCAGTATATATTGAACCCTGTAGGCGACGCACAGACACACACACACAGGAGCGATGGCACAATACGTCCACATACGATTTTTCATACAATCAAAGAGAGAGAGAGAGAAATGGGGTTTAATGTCCACTTGACACAAACTAGGTCATTTCGGGACTAACATATGGTTTAATTTTCTTTCAATAATTCGCTTGCGCGTAGGGGTCTTTAGCAGCGGGAGGAAACTGGAGGACCCGGAGAAAACCCACGAGGTTGGACAGGCGTCCCTACTCCTTGCCACGTACAACCGGGGATTCGAAACCACGCCAGTTGACTCAATGACAGGCCACATGATACAGCACGCACGTGCTAACCATTCGGCCATCCAACCCCCCTCATACAATCAAGGGCCATAATTCAGGAAGTTTCGATCTGATACACGCGAATATCGAAATGAACCAAGATCTTTGGATTATAAACATGTATTTCAAGTTTCAACAAAATCGGATCAAAATTGTGACCTCTGGAGGGTCCACAACCTTGATATACGAGATGTTTACACTAGTTGAGCAGAAGGGGTGGCCATTTTGTCTGGCAGTTTTGGTCTGATTTTCACAAAATTCACAACCACATTTCAATGTGGGCGTATAAAAAAAAAACTCAAACAACAACTCTAGCTTGGTTACATGTTGAAACATAAAGATCTATGTGGGTTATAAAATATTAATTTAGATAAAATTAAAGAATCCCCGCCAAACAGAACCAGCAACAGACTTGTAGATTTAAAAGATCTTTATATCAATCCAACTTTTCGGGTGCAATACCCTTTTTCAAGAATGATTTTTTTGTGAATCCTGTGACGCCTTATATACAAACAAAAGAGATGACGTCACAGGATTTTAAAAATTATTAATGTACAATAATTGGTTTGAAAGAAAAGGATCGTTAAAATTAAGGATTGTTAAAAACGAGGATCGTTAAATTTATTTTTATGTACAAAAAGGATTTTTAAAAATTAAATTAAAGATTGTTAAATAAGTAAAGTTATTAATATAATTATAAAAATAAGTAAAGATTTAATATTTTAAAATAACAAAGAATAGGTCGATTATCGCGGATTTAAATAAAATAATTATCATTGATGTCTTCTAGGATGGCGGGGATTCTTTAATTTTAAAAGATCTTTATATCAATCCAACATTTCGGGTGCAATACCCTTTTTCAAGAATGATTTGTTTGTGAATCCTGTGACGCCTTATATACAAACAAAAGAGATGACGTCACAGGATTTTAAAAATTATTAATGTACAATGATTGGTTTGAAAGAAAAGGATCGTTAAAATTAAGGATTGTTAAAAACGAGGATCGTTAAATTTATTTGTATGTACAAAAAGGATTTTTAAAAATTATATTAAAGATTGTTAAATAAGTAAAGTTATTAATATAATTATAAAAATAAGTAAAGATTTAATATTTTAAAATAACAAAGAATAGGTCGATTATCGCGGATTTAAATAAAATAATTATCATTGATGTCTTCTAGGATGGCGGGGATTCTTTAATTTTATCTATTCTACTACTCCGCCCCGCCGGCATCATTTTTTGATCCAGATCCTACGCAGATGTACCAGACTGTCCAGCTTTTTTACTTATTTAAGGGAGTGTTGCCGTACCCCTCCTCGTTTTCCAAAATATTAATTTATTAGTTTAGTTAGGTCAATCAACCCTATGAAAAAGGTTACACTGATCTTCTAATAACACAGATTTATTATTTAACTTTCCTATACTTTACATTCTTTAAGTAGATCTATTACTATAACTGTATGACATGTAAATTCTTACCTGTCCTGGAAATAAGGAATATTCTGATAATGATGTCAGATCTACAGGTATACATTTACCAGCTGATGTATCTCTAGAACCTTCTAATAACACAGATTTATTATTCAACTTTCCTATACTATCACAACAAATTCTTCCACATATATTAACAATTTCCTGTAATCATCAAATACAACTTTTAAATCATCTTATTTTGATCAATTCCGGCTATATTTTATTACCAAAAAATTGCAATCAGGAACCATTAAATCGACCAATGATTAACAGCAAGACTTCAACCAAATGTAGACAGTAAAATCGACCTATACTGACTACTCATCGGTCATAGATGAAATGGTTAAGATAAAACTTAGAACAAGACAGGTTTTAATTTCAGAGATGTGGTTTGATTTTTCAGTAAACTATTGAATATGTGTGTATACAGGGCTAGAAATTCGTCAGTTTTTGCATTTTTAAGAGGAGTCTCATATATATGCAATCTGCGCAAATCTTTCGAATCTTAATATTAATACTGACTAAAAAAACAAAATTGTGTTTATTGTTTATCGCCAGTATCAGAAAATGCAGTAGCCAAAATAAGCTGATACAGCACTAGGGCTGTGTCGATATATCCATACGTTCCAGCGATATTTATATCGATACGTAAGGAGTAGGGTCGCCTGTCCAACCTCATGGGTTTTCTCCGGGTCCTCCGGTTTCCTCCCACTGCTAAAGACCCCTACGTGCAAGCGAATTATTGAAGTAAAATTAAAACCACATGTTAGTCCCGAAATGACCTAGTTTGTGTCGAGTGGACGTTAAACTCCATTTCTCTCTCTCTCTCTCCAAGTATATCGCACAAAACTACATGGACATATTTGATAGTGCTAGGAGCAAAATATGAGACATAAAATAAATGAAGTTTTAGCTAAAAGTATGACATAACCTCAAAAATAACGAAAATATCACTCAAACCCCATTGGTAATTAAAATGTTAATCAACATGAAAGGTGCGAGTGAGAAATCAAGCCTAAATTGTACGGAATGATATCATAAATTATTATCATCAACTTAAGAATGAAATTTCTGGTGGTCAGTGTACTTAAGAAGAGAATAATGCTGGTCTGCACCGAATGACCCCTAATTAGAAATTTAATTAACGTGAAAGGTGCGACATTGGAACAAGGATTTAAATTGTAGGGACTGATCATAGGATTCACAACCATTAACTTAAGAATGAATATTTAGGTGGTAAATGAACTTAAGAACAGCAGTTGTGACCAATAACCTTAAAAAATCAGTGACAAGCAGTGCAACTTTTCAATGTTATTTATAGTAATATATTTTCTACTTTTAAAATTGAATTTTATATCATTGGAAAGAACACGACAATCTGTACATTTTTGTAACAGAGTATTTCTATGTATAGAAAATATTTTTTTAGTTATTTGCAATTTTGTAGAGGGTATTGGGATTAAAAATAATCCACTAATTGGCTTAGGAAATGGTCCCTGCTGATTTAATTAGCTTAGGGTTAGGGTAGCTAATCTTTTAATTGGCTCAGGGTTAAATGGGTTAATGTATCAGTGTTACTATCAGAGATCAAGAGGAAACATAGCATTGTGGGCATATTGCACTGCTTGTCACTGATTTTTTAAGGTTATTGGTCACATCTGCTGTTCTTAAGTTCATTTACCACCTAAATATTCATTCTTAAGTTGAGCAGAACAGTAGGACGTTACACTCCATTTCATTTCATTTCATTTCATTCTTAAGTTAGTGGTTGTGAATCCTATGACCAGTCCCTACATTTTACACCTTGTTCCAATGTCGCACCTTTCATGTTAATTAAATTTCTAATTAGGGGTCATTCGGTGCAGACCAGCATTATTCTTTTCTTAAGTACACTGACCACCAGAAATTTAATTCTCAAGTTGATGATAATGATTTCTGATATCATTCCGTACAATTTAGGCTTGGTTTCTCACTCGCACCTTTCATGTTGATTAACATTTTAATTACCGATGGGGTTCGAGTGATATTTTCGTTATTTTTGAGATTATGTCATACTTTTAGCTAAAACTATTTTATGTCTCATATTTTTGCTCCTAGCACTATCAAAAATGTCCATGTAGTTTTGTGCAATATATTTGGAATAGATCACGAGATAATGGAAAAATCATTTTCAGTAAAATCTAAAAATTGCTAATTAGTGACCTTTGACCTCTTCTTAAGTGGCCTTTCCACCAAAAATTCCATTCTTAAGTTATATTTCCTAATTCAGGGCACATTCCTCTATCAAATGCCATTGAAGTGGAACTTGCACCTTCCATGTTGAATAAAACCATTTTGGGGGGTACTATTGGTGGCTCCTCCTGCCACACCCACCACTGGCGCAACTTAAGAATTGGGTTTCTGGGGTTTCCTAAAACAGTCATACACCACTAAAATGCCAAACCTTCCGCACCTTCCATGTTGAACAAAACCCACCTAGCTCCCGGACTAATCATAATCGTACGGAATTTTGATTTTAAAGCAATTTCAGTATGTTGTGCTGTGTGTCTATCAATTGACGAATGAATAAAAACTTTTGCCAAGTTACATGACTATAGTTACCTGATAGACAAAGACAACAAATTGTGTTATGAAGAAATGCCATGGTGCCGTATCAGCTTATTTTAGCTACAGCATTTTCTGATACTGGCAATAGATGAAAAATGCAAATATTCTAGATCATCGACATGAAATGCGAACGTTTCATCGAATAAACGAAGACAGTAATTAATTTATTCTGGAATATTACGGACGTGAACTTCAAGATTTTACGTGAATTAAATATGGAAAATTTTCAAATGGTGTATCCGTCGTTATTTTTGTAGTAATCACATACAGTGTACATTAAAATACGACATCCTCCACAACAAATTACCCAGAATTATTTTTGTTGAAGTCTTGTTATATTAAAGTGATTGGAGCTTATAATTAACCCATATCCTACAGGTCCTCAATTGACCCAATTCCGGCCAGTTCGTTTCAAAATGGATTAAGAAATCTGATGCTTACCCATCTCAAACATCTTGAGCATAATTCGTGATGTCATCATATCGCGATACATATCGGTTTGCCGCATCGTATCGAAAATGAACTGTATCGACACAGCCCTATACAGCACCCTGGCATTTCTTCTAGGGCTGTGTCGATACAGTTCATTTTCGATAGGATATGTATTGACCATACGGCAAACCGATACGTGATACGTATCACAATATGCTGACATCACGAATTATGCCCAAAATAATCTCAAACTACATTCTGTTTCAAGATGTTTGAGATCCATTTTGAAACGAACCGGCCGGAATTGGGTAAAGTACATCCTGAACCATTAGTGATGTCTGAACTTCCAGATGGACCCTGGTGTAATGTTTCTATATTGACTTGTGTGGACAGTTTCCAAATGGATATTATTTGTTAGTGATTATTGATGACTATTCTCGTTTTCCCATAGTTGAAACAGTAAAATCCACATCTGCAGATTCAATAAATCCTGTGTTAGATAAAATATTTTCTGAATTTGGAATACCGCAAATTGTGAAAAGTAATAATGGACCGCCTTTTCAAGGTCAAGAATTTGCTTATTTTGCTCAGTATCTCGGATTCAAACATAAGAAAATCACACCTCTTTGGCCTCAAGCCAATGCTGAAGCTGAAAGACTGATGCAACCTTTGTGTAAAGCTATCCGATCAGCAATTGTCGAATGTAAAAGTTGGAAACAAGAACTGTTCACATTTTTGCTAAATTATCGTGCTACACCGCATCCGACAACTGATCACACACCAGCTGATCTGATGTTTGATCGTCCAATTCAAACAAAACTTCCAGAAGTTCGTACTAAAGAAACTCCAGCTAACGTCAAGGAACGTGATCAATCTCAGAAATCTAAAATGAAAGATTATGCTGACAAAAAACGATCTTCTAAGAATCACACAATCTCTGAAGGTGATACTGTTTTGATTCGTCAGTCAAAAAAAAGACAAATTCTCCACTGTTTTTAAACCTAAACCCTACAAAGTTAAATCTGTCAAAGGAAGTATGATTACTGCTAAAAGACATGATCATCACATTACTCGTAATAGCTCATTTTTTAAAGTCTGATAGATATACATGTAATTCTTCTGAAGATGAGGAGGATACTGATGAACAAGATATAGTTGATAACGACTCAGATCTAAACCGTGACCCAATTAATCAACATAGATCTAGATATCCCCATCGTCATAGAAGACCAAGATGTTTGATTGATGAGATGTAAACCAAAACATTGAACTCTTTATTTAATTTCTTTATAAGTTTATAATGTTAAGTTGTGTATAGCAAGAAATATCATTGAGGATGATAGTTATGAACCGTGTAAATTAACAATTTCTGTAATGGTAATTCTAAGTGTTAAAGTAAAAGGACTTTTAAAAGTTTCAAAGGTTGAAATTTAAATTTTTATACGCCCACATTGAAATGTGGTCGTATATTGTCGTCACCCCTGTCCGCTCTAGAGGCTAAAGTTAATATCTGATGGACTTTAAATTTATATACACAGTGTTTAAGGTCTTGAGACGAAGAAGCCTATTGATTTTCAGCGATTTCCGATAATTACTGCCAGAGTTATGGCCCTTGATCACTTCAAAAAATCTTGTGGACGCTCTAGAGGCCAAAGTTAATATCCAATTAACCTTAAATTTATACACAGTGTTTGCGGTCATGGTACAAAGAATCCTATTGATTTTCAACGATTTCCGATAATTACTGCCAGAGTTATCGCCCTTGATCACTTCAAAAAATCTTGTGGACGCTCTAAAGGCCAAAGTTAATATCCGATTGACTTTAAATTTATACACAGTGTTTAAGGTCATGAGACGAAGAAGCCTATGTGATAATTACTGCCAGAGTTATGGCCCTTGATCACTTCAAAAAATCTTGTGGACGCTCTAGAGGCCAAAGTTAATATTCGATTGACTTTAAATTTATACATAGTGTTTAAGGTCATGAGACGAAGAAGCCTATTGATTTTCAGCGATTTCCAATATTTGCTGCCAGAGTTATGGCCTTGATCACTTTAAAAAATCTTGTGGACGCTCTAGAGGCCAAGGTTTATATCCGACTGACTTTCAATTTATACACAGTG